CTCACGTTTCCATACGATAAAAATTGTAAATTAAATTTCCTTCGATTTCCTTCCTTGCTCTTGCGTTTACGATAACCCGAAGAACCAAACTAAAAGCTGTTCGAAAATTAAAATTGAAATCGTACGACTGGAAAAATTCGAACAGTACCTATGGGGATAAAAAATAAAACGTGGGACCCGATAAAAAGAAATAAAAGGAAAAAAAAGGAAAGAACGTTTCACTGGAAAATAAGGGTAACGTATAAATACTTTTTGTAGCCGCTGTAGTTACATAGGCATACGTAGACTGGCTGTTTTCACGCGATCGCTAATTGTTAATGGCTCGGTGTATCGCCGATAAGGAAAGTTATTCGCGTGTGTGTCACACCGCGATCTTATCCAGCCAATTCGAAACTTTATTTCCCGCAATTACACCCCGTTAAACGCGCGCCCTATGCGCCCTCTGCCCCTCTCCCGATGGAAAAGTTGATTTTGCGATTTTTAATTTCATTCCCAGCAATTTTCCTGGTCACGAATGGTGCGTGGCTCTTCTTGTTCCTACCTAGTCGTCGATCTGCACGTCAGATTGCCTCTTTTACGGCTGTTTTAATACGGGAAATTGTGCAAAAGAGTATTTAATCAAGAACGAAGTTCGATTACACATACAGTGGCATACCGGGTGATTCATAAGTGCGAGTCGTCGCTTCAGGCCGTAAATCTACGCGTTCATACAAATAGAAATGTGACTGTTGCGTAGTATAGTTTTCGTGTTATGCGCGAGTAGAGTGTAACATTGTTAAAGTGATTTCTTCTTTGCAGTGAGAATATTCCGTAAACTTGCAGCTTCGCGATATTCTGAATATCACGACGAATAGAGTGAGATTATATGGCCGACATGATCCTCCAAATCCATCGGTTTTCTGTCTTTTCGCGCCTTCTGCCATCTATCGTATTTATATTGGACGAATGCACACAGGGCCGGCGCAAGGTAGGTTCAGCGCGTTCGCCGGAACCCGGACCCGCGTTTTGAGAGACAAAAATCATTAAAGTTCAATGTAACTTCATAAAGTCCTCGTGGAAACTCACCTCATTCATCCTGGAAACTACTTTAGATAAAAATCCAGGAGCTTTCAGAGAAATGTACTTCTTAGAGAAATTAAACTACATCGACAGTTTTTTGCAAAGGTCATACAAGATTACAGATTTTGTACTTTCATCGAATTTTTTGCCCCTTGGAAGCGAATTATGGATGCGAAAAAACATTACTTGGATTTGTTTAAAAAACTGCTTATAAAAAATATATAATATGTAACAGCATTTGTAAATAAATAATTCCTCCTTATAAAATTTAAATGTAGGATTTGAATGTGTATTCAGGCCCCGCAGAGGTCACGCCGGCCCTGCATGCATACGACATACGTTCGTAAGACGCTCTGTTTCCTTGTTTTTTAGTGTAGGTTTAACGACTGAAGTATTTACAAAAAGTGCGTTTATGAATCATGGAAACTTTTTATTGGGTCGGCAACTAAATGATTGCGGATTTTGTCATTAGCACCCAATGACAAAATCACTTTGTTGCCAACCCAATAATTTTCCGATTGCTTAAAATTTGCGCTTTTCGTCCAGACAGAACGAACGCTTCGCCACAATCGTATTAGGTTCCTCTGATTGAAGATACACAAACATGTGGCATATTTTTGAAATTTATGTTCGTCGGTGATGGTCCAACGAAGAACAGATTCTTCTATTCTGTTCGTATTATCTGCTTCTGTTTATATTAAACACAGACAGCTAGGCATTTCAGAAATAACAAGCTGCTTCGCTATGATCAATGAGACGTTCAGGCGGACCATGATGCAGAAAAGATGGAGAAGTACGGCCGTTTTTAAAAACAGATTGAAATAACGTGAGATCGATATTTGTATATCAGGATTTTAGCGAAACAAAGGAGATCCGAGAGAGAAACCACGCCACGTCTAGCGTTTTGTTAAACCGTGTAACAGGCATCGTCATTGAAACACTATGATTCATGAGAAACGCTCGGAGGAGGGTTAGGTTGGGAGGATCGTATTTCCGAGAATTCAGAGACCGAAAGATGTTCTCGGCCGTTTTGCCGCGGCGAAAGAAGGCGGAAGACTAAACGAGACAACTATGAGAAAAAGGGCAAATAGTCTGCGGATAAGAAAGGCCGGCCAAGAACAGCATTTAAAAAAACTTATGGTAGCGCGATTCGTAAAAAGAAAAATCGCCAAATGTTTGTATTCCTAACCATTGTATGGACGATGGAAAGATGTTCGGAGAACGCTTTCGGCAGTTTCAGCCAGCCAATGTTTCGACACTTAGAAACTGCTTGCAGAGTATTCGACCTGCTCTCTAGCGATGACAGCCGCATTTAATCGACAGCTGCGTTCGTTATGTTCGTTCCGCGTGAACATCTATGCTATGTTTCCTTTAACACTTTACTGACCGCTAGCGGTTCAACAGCATACGCACGTCCGATCGTCAAATTGGTATAAAACTGTGAGAGTTTACAAAGCAGCTGACCTTAGTACTAAATAACAAATTACTGCTCATATAATGAGAAAGATCGTTTATCGCCATGGCAACTGATTAACTATAGGTAGGTTATAGGTCGGTAAGCGTCGGCGACCAAAAAGCCGATTAATAGGCTGTTGGTCGCTAAGCGTCGGCGACAAAAAGCAAATTAATTGACTATCGGTCGGTAAAGTGTTAATTTACGCGCGCGATAAAAGGCACGTGGATATTTGAAAAGAGAAACAGCGGTGTGTCACTCACTGGACGCTTTTTCTAACGAGTAGATCGTACACCTAATTATTGGGTTGGAAACTAAGTGATTTTGTCAATACCACGTAACGACAAACTCCGCAATCACTTAGTTTCCAAGCCAATAAATTATTATCGAACTGGAACGTGGCAACTTTAATAGCTAAATTTCGAATCAGATTATCTCAGGCTTTTCGAGCAGTCGTGGTAAATTCGAGCAGACGTAAACAAACTTGTAAACGGAAGATCCTAGCAATTGGCTAATACTGCGAATGCTATTTGTAGATACGTTTGATAGCTGGACAAGTGTGTGGAATTTGAAACAAGTGAGATACGTAGCCAAACGGTAATTAAGAACCGTCAAAACGCGTTTAATTTATTATACGATAGGATCCCTAATGTGTGCTTGTCACGTAAACACGTAAGTCGCATTTGTATCTTATTTCTTCTGGGAATCTGACGCCAGTGGCTACAGCTTCGATGTTTCGTTCGAAGGAGAGACACTGCAGTTAGCACTGAGCGAAAGAAGATATTTCGTTTTATCGCTGATTCTATCGTTTCAGCTTTCGAGTTCTATTTTTCTTGTCCTACGTTCCACACGAAGCCATTCGATAAATACAATTTTTGATCAATTTCGTTATCAGCAGCTCGCAACGCTTTTAAGTGTTTTATTTAAAATTTATTCGAACTAAAAAAATAAGAGAATTTAAATAAACAAAGGACGAAAGAAATTCACTTAAATACCAGTTTTATTCACACTATCGTTGTATTTTCTAATTTTTAAGTGTACGATATATCTTGAAACAATTTCCAGGATGCAATCCTGTTTCTCTTTCACAAAAAAACGTGCCACTCGACAGAGGAGCTGCCGAGATAAAAACTGACGTCCACACATACGAGTGCAAAGGCTAAAGGTTTTTCTACGGGTTTCGCCTATTCTAAAAAACGTTTTAAAAAAAAGTTTCAGCCGTGGAGCGTGGTTGGAGAACCGACAGAAATTTATCGAATGACCCTATGTATATTCTCGATCGATTTTTACACGTACGTAGCCCAAGTATACACAGGAGCGTAAATATACGGAGCTATCCAGCAAAAAACTTTCCACTAACGAAAGTGACAAATGTGTATACCGATTGCGATAAGGTTTCATTCGTGGTCATTTCTCTCGGTGTATGATTAACTAGATTTAGGTCGATTCAGATCGTTTTATTCGACGTATCATTTCGTTCTATTCGACTGACTTGTGATTTCCTAAGGCTGCTCTAACACGATTTATTATACCAACGAACGTGTCTGCTTTTCAACGTTGATTAGGTACACTGGTTTTTATTTACGTTCGCAGTTAATTACCGCGAGGCGCGAGAATTTCGGGAATTTTTTCTTCCCCGAGAATCTATAGGAGAACCTTCACGACCAATCAAAAATACTTGATTTTTATACGTGACATTATGTCATGCCGAGAGTTCCTTTCGTTTTAGAAGGAAACGACCGACGCACATTTTTCCTTTCGTATTATTTCGTTGAATCATGCTGCCACATATACGTAATTGGATAAAATAATTTATAACGAAAAACGTGCATAACGAAAGAAACCAACGTATTCACCTAAATTAATTAGTTCTTTCTACATCCGCTAACTAAGACGATGAGAAATTTGAATATCGTTGCTATCGATAGAACGTCTATAAATAATCATCCGAATTTCCTAACGTTTCCTAACGAATACGTTTCTTGTGGTTTCCCAGGACGCCTGTGAGAGCCTCGTCATCGATCGTCGCCAGCACCAGCCAGTGTCTAAAATGACCGCCATCGAGCCAAGGTAATAACCATCGAAAACGCCATTGGAATAATACACGACACTCTGAAGACGCAGCAGTGTGTCCGCGCGCTAAGAGTGTCAAGGAAGGAAAAGATGAGAAGTGAGAGAAAAATGTGACAGAAGGAAGAAAGAAGAGATTAAGAGGAAAAAAAAACTCGTTCGATGAGAAAAGTAGGCGAAACTCGCGGTGTGTAAGTGTTCTGAAGAGATCGAGGCGAGGAACTGTTGGCTGGAAGATGCCTCGACCATCGAGGGATACTTACGGCGACCAGAAGCCGCC